GTTAATCTCTCCTCTGATTTTCAGTATTTCAATTTTGGTGTTTAATTGGGAGATTTTTTTGTTTTCCTGGTTTTTGTTGTTCATTGATCTACTCTTAAATTGATTCAAGCATTTGGAGATAAAAAATTTCTCTGACATACTGCTTTGTCTGCACCCCCAGATTTTGGTATGTTGTCTCATTGTTGTCATTATCACTAATGATATTATTGCTCTTAGAATTTGTTCTTTGACCCTCTAATTACTTAGGATGAGATTAGTTTCCTATTAATTTTAAATTTATGCTCCAAAGGCCTTTTATTTAACATAAATTGTTATTGCATTATGGCCAGAAAAAAAAAAGATGCATTTAATATTTCTGGTTTCCTGTATTTGTGAAGTTTTTATGCCCTACAACATGGTCAATTTTTGTGAAGGTGCCATGCACATTTGGAAATCAGGCATACTCCTTTCTGTTCCCATTCAATACTCTCCAGGGATCTATCATATTTGACTTTTCTAAAGTTTTAACCTAACTTCTTTCTTTTTTTTAAAATAGTCTAGGTCTGAGAGGGATAAATTGAGGCCCTTCACTACCATAGTTTTACTATTTCCTCCTGAAACTCATTTAACTTTTCCTTTAAGAATTTACATACTATGTACATTTATGAATTCATTGTCTACAGTACCTTTTAGTAAAATGTGGTTTCTCTGTTTATGTCTTTCAATTAGGTCTGTTTTTCCTTTCATTTTGTCTGAGATCACGATTGTCACTCTTGCCTTTTTTATTTCAGCTGAAGCATAATAGATTCTTGCCCTGGCCTCTTATTTTAACCCTATGTAGGACTTTAGACACACTGTTTCATGTGTGTCTCTTGTAAACAACATATTGTTGGATTCTGGTTTCCAATCTATTCTGTTCTCTTCTGTTTTATGCATGAGTTCATCCCATTCACATTCAGTTATGATTGCTGTTTATTTCCCTCCATCCTATTTTCATATACTTAGCTTCTTTTTTAAACTGTTTCCTCCTTAAGAGTTTATTTCCTCAAGAGTCTGTTTTGTTTCTGACCACTGCCTCCATTATCTGCCCTCCCCTTGCTTTGTTTTAACAACTTTCTCCCTACTTCCCTATTGGATGAGGTGAATTTCTGTACACAACTATGTTTATTCTCTCTTCCTTAAACTAATTCAGATGAGTGAGGATCAAGTGTTGCTTCATAATCTCAGTGCCTAGACTCATCCTAATTTCTTCTTTGTTGTACCATTTATGTGAGGTAATTTTCTCTGTTCTTCTTCTCTGGTACCTCCTTCCCCACTGCATTCCTCATTCTTCTTTTGAGATAATCTTAACATAGAATGGCACCTCGGCCCCCTCTCTTTTTAGATTCCCTCTAAGAGACTTAGTGATGATGATGTTCGGAGGGATTACCTATGTCCTTTCTCCATGTAAGAATGTTTAACCTTCTTTAGTCTTTTATGATTTCTCTCATGTTTACCCTTTTGTGCTTCTCTTGAGTCCTATGTTTGAATGTCAGATTTTCTATCCAGCTCTGGTACTTTTACTAGGAATGCTTAAAAGTCTTCTATTTCATTAAATATCTATTCTCTGCCCCCCCCCCGGAAGGATTGTGCTCAGTTTTGCTGAATAGGTTATTCTTGGCTATAATCCCAGATACTTTGTTTCCTGAAATAGCATATTCTATGTTCAAAATTGCTCGACAGTGGTGGCTGATCAAACTTGTGTAATTCTGTGGTTCCAATGTGCTTCAATTCTTTCTTTCTGGCTGCTTGCAGTATTTTCTCCTTGATTCTGGAATCTGGCTATAATATTTCTGGGAGTTTACATTTTGCAGTTTCTTTCAGGAAGTGACAAAATTTCTACTTTTCTTCCTCTGGTTCTAAGATATCTGGGCAGTTTTCCTTCATAATTTATTGAAATATGATGTCTAGGGGCGGCTAGATAGCTCACTGCCTAAAAACAAAAAACAAAAAACAAAAAAACAAAAAACAAACAAAAAAAACAAAAGAAATATGATACCTAGACTCATTTTTGTTTTTAGTTCAGGGCTTTCGGGAAGTTCAATGATTCTATTTTTAATTTTTTTTTTTAATTTTTAGAGGCAATGAGGGTTAAGTGACTTTCCCAGGGTCACACAGCTAGCTAGCAAGTGTCAGAGGTCAGATTTGAACTCAGATCTTCCTGCCTCCAGGATTGGTGTTCTAGCCACTGCTCCACCTAACTGCCCCCAACAAGTTCAATGATTTTTAAACTATCTCTTTTTGATCTATTTTCCAGGTCAGTTGTTTTTCCTATAATTCACATTTTCTTCTATTTTTTCAATCTTTTGATTTTGTTTTATTATTTGTTATCATGGAGTCATTAGTTTCTATTTGGCCAATTCTAATTTTTAAAGAGTTATATTCTTCAGTAAGGCTTTGTGGCTTTTGTACAAAGCTGTTTTCTTTTCATGACTTTTTTTGCATGGTTCTCCCTTCTTTTCCCATTTTTTCCTCCTCTGCTTTTATTATTTTTAATTTTGTTCTTTTTAAAAAAAAAACTCTAAGAATTCTTGTTGGATTTTTGTCCCACTTGCCTATTTCTTTAAGGCTTTGCTTTTAGATGTTTTAAGTCATTGTGTGTGTGTGTGTGTGTGTGTGTGTGTGTGTGTGTGTGTGTGTGTGTGTGTGTGTGTTGAGCTTCCCTGTCACTACAGTAGCTCTTTATGATCAGGTTCTTTTTTGTTTGCTCATTCTTTCAGCCTACATCTTGACTTGGGGCTTTGTTAGTGTTGGGCTCTGCTCATTTCTGGAGGGGGTGGGGAATGTCTGACTTGCTTCTTTCTCTTTATGTTCTGCTATTTTCACAGCATATTCTGGGGGCCACACGTTTTTGGTGCTTCCAAGGTGGTATGATCTGAGGAGAGGTTTGTTCGCTACCTTCCCAGTATAAGCTCTGCAACTTCCTGACTTAGGTTTGTGCAAGTTTGAGTTTCTTTAGACTGCTACCGAACTCAGTTACTGTTAGTCTGTTGGGAAGTTCTGCTGTTTCAAGAGTGACAACTGCTTTGGTCATGGTTTCCTGCTCTAGTTATTCTGGTGCAGGCTTATATGCTGGGCTAAAGGTTAAAACTGAGTCTTCCTTCTGCCCTTGGGATCAGAACCACACAGCTAAATTTTTGGAACTGTCTCCTTGCTACCTCAACTTGGGCCTCTCTTGCTTCCAACCATGACCACTTGTCTCTCCCTTGTAACTATGACCCATAATTGGGTGATGAGTGGCAGAGCTACCAGCCCACAACTGTTCCTATTCTCACTGCTGGCTCAGGAGTCCTCTGGGATCTTATTCTGCCCTGGTGCTTCCAACCCTGGGGACTAGAATACTCCCTCTAGTTACAGCCACTGAATTCATGGGTAACCTTGCTCCAGTGTCCACATACCTCTATCTTCCTAAGCTGCCTTGAGTTACAAAGATGACTTGCTGCGATTGCTTCTTATTTTTCCCAAAAAGAATTCAGCCTGGTGCATTTCCTAGCTTGGTATGGAGGACATATGTTGCATGAGCTAAGCAAAAATGCCAGCACTTCCTCTGCCATCTTGACTGCACTTCCTATCATTATGATTTTAATGGGCATTATGAGAGGAAGCCTGGTTTAACAAAAACAGGTTAGACCTTGAGAAGGGAGCATGGTGTGGTGCTAAGATCTAACCTTGACAATCCTGCCTCAGGCAACTAACTAACTGTGTGACCTTGAAGAAGTCAGTTAATCTTCATGATCCTCAATTTCCTGATCCATAAAGTGGGGTGATAGATTTGATGGTCTCTAAGGCCCTCCAATCTCTAAATCTACAATCAGCTGGTGATCTAGGTCCCTGCCACGTAGTTGGCTATGTGAGCACATTTTACTGCCTCAAAGCTAATCTCTACTTAGAGGCAAGTTGTCCAAGATGCCTTGAAAGAACCGAGGGATGGCAACATCAACGTTAGGAATTCCTATGTTCAAAATTCACATTAAGCTTATTCTATTTTATGTTCTATGCTTAATATGAACAAACAAAAATAAATAAAACAGGGAGTATCTACACTGCCAAGAAGTTTCCACATCAGAAGTACCCAACAACCTGATTAAAATCTCTAGCACAGACTGCCTCCCCACTCCCCCCAAAAGGGCCATTAGGCTTAAAAGCAGGAGGAAGGGGAAAAAAATAGCAGCTGCCAAGACTAACCCTTGTAGTTTCCCTTATGACTAAGCAGCTTTTCCCCATGGATGTCATATTTTATTCATAATGATAATAGCTATCATTTATATAGTGCTTTACACATGTTCTCATTTGATCTTCGCAATAACCCTGTGATGTAGATGCTACTATACTCATCTTACAGATGAGGAAACTAGGCTGAATGGATTACCCAGGATCACATATCTAGTAAGTATCCAAGGTAGGCTTTGAACTCAGGACTTCTTGACTCCAAGTCTAACATGCTAGCCACTGCACTAAGCTGCCCATCCATATGGTAGATTAGATCTTTCCAAAGTCCTATGTCATAGGTAAAATTGACCCTTTCTATTTATGAGTATTACAGTTCTAGAGCAGGTAGTGCTAATTTCATTTTCTTGTTTTCAAGCTCAGGCTTAAAATCATTTATTAAATCAAACCTGAAGTCCATTTAGGCTTACCCAGCAGATTCCTATGGTATACTAAACTACATTTCTCCCTCCATCTCCTGCTTCTTCTTATCAGAAGAACTCTAGGCCTTGGTTTACAATCTTCCTATCACTTATCCACCTGGGCTACTTTTGTTACTTTCCTTCCTTTTCTGTTCAGTTCTCAGAGAAGTAAAATGAGTTACTTGAGCTGACCCTCATCAATATGGTGACCATTGGATTCTCCAGACCCGATCCCTTGCTCCAAAGGTCTTTAAAAGATTTCATGACTAAAAAAAGGTTCGTTTCAGTTATAGCTCTTGACCAAAATCCTAACAATTGATAGTAAATAAATGAAGCTTGACATGATATTATGAGGTAAGTTTTTTATTTAAAAAAATTAATCTATATTACAAGCTACCTAAGTCTCAATGACCTTTAATACATTTACATCTTTAAAAAGTGTCAGCTATGTTTAGCAACACTTGCTGACCTGACCTGCAGTGCCCTATAAAAATACAAAAATCAACACTGTTGATCTTGAGATTAAGTGCTTATTTCTGGAATTTTATTTCAGAAGAAGAACTGCAGGTGGTTCCATAAGGGAGACATGCAGGTACCTGCAATGAGACCACAAAGCCAATTTGTAATCATAGGCTAAAGATTACAGTTCACAAAGTTCATTCAGACAGCTTAAGCCAGAGAAGAGTATATGTAGCAAGTATTGGCACATTTAAACCATAGTTTAGTCAGCTTACAATAACTTATAAATGGTCCCTTCCCTATCCTCTCTGCCACCAGCCCCCCTCCCAAAAAAAGAGAAATAAAAAGAAAAATGGAGCCCAGACCCTAGAGCTTCGCTGACCTGAAATCAGCTTCCTCCTCTAGATTTAGCCCAGCATGCCTTATCTTCAGCCCCAGAGATGTTGCCTCACACACCCATTACTTAACTTGCCTGATTTTTGAAGTCCACTAAACCTCCTGGACCTCTCTACTTCAGGCTCCATTTTCAGTCTGAGTTCAGAGATCAGCCACAACTGGACTCTAGTCATTTCTAGTTAGTTTGCCCCCTTCTGCAGTGACCACTGTCACTAGGTCCCATCCCCTTCCTTATTTTCTTTCTCTCTACTGTGGAGCACAAGATGGTATTTTTTAAGGTTTATTAACAAAGGAAAGGGATACACACAAATTCAGAAATACACTATGGTAAGGTAATTAGAAGTATTTATGATAAATTTATACTTTCTCTTAATTAGGTTACCCTAAACTTCCAGGTATTCTAGAGTAAAACGGTCCCTCAGGCTTATCCTGTCCATCTGAATTCTCTCTGGCCCTGGTGGCCTCAGACTTTCCCTTCCGAACACACCTTAGCCAAATTGGGGATTGCCTACTTGAGCTGTCTAAACCAAGATCACTGGTTCATTCTTCCAATGCCAGGTTCACTCTCAGCCAATCAGGGAGCCTCTTGATGGTATAGCAAGGTCATGGTGCTCCACCCAGTCTGGTGCCATCACTCGACTAGGTAGCTAACCACACCTCTCCCCACCAGGAGACAAACAAGGAATATAAAAACAGGTAAATAGAACAGAACCCATTCACCTCAAAATCAGAATCACAATTTAATCTGACATAGGTCATTCCCAAATGCAAACACACATAATGGTAACCCCATTTTCTGTCTAGTTTAGAGTTAAGTGGAGCCTCTCTAGTCAAATTGCTTTGTTTAAAAAGTTTAACGTGTGTGATACTGGTTGTGGAGAAACTGTGGTATGTCTAACACATACAGCTTTTATTGAAAGTGATCCAAGACACAAGGAAGTTTTAGAAACTTACTTTGATGCCTTATACTTTTCCCTAATTGCTTGTTGAGGTCGATGGGGGATATCAAGGCATGCTCTGTGCAGATCACTCAAGCAAGGAACTATTTCGCTTAATGAATACCCAGTGAAGGCAGCCAGGGTTTCTGGCTAATCAAGGAAGAAGAAAAAAAGACAAACTTACTTCATAATTTTAAAAATTAGATGAGAAATCTACAGATAACTCTGATGACTATGATAGGTTGTTATAAGTTACAGTTACAAGTTACAGTTACAAGTTACAAGACTGATAATACAGGAATGAGGAAATCATCCTAGAACTAAATTTTCTTGTATTTTCATACTTGACGAGGGAAGGCAAATCCATTCTACCAGCTTCTACTACTAACTGTATGGCTTAATGGAGGAGACAAGTTTCCCCAGAAGTTGGGGCACTTCATCTACATACATATCTGTCAGAGGGCGCTCTGCTAAAAGCAGAGCACTTCCAAAAAGTACCTAACTTGTAAATGATGTTATTCAAAAGAGAGTGAAAGAAAGGAGTTGTTATCCTCTGCCTGATTCTGACCAGGAATTTAAGGCAAAAAAAAGTAGAAAAATATTTATTATGGCTAGGTACTTTAACTGAGTTCACATGACTTGGACCAATCAGATAACAACCCAGGATATGAGAAACTCACAGAAATCTTTACTGAACCAGTGTGTTCATGGAGAATGGGAAAAGTACTCTTTGGAGAAAGGAGAAAGTAAATTTTGCAAGGTATAGACTGGCTTGGCATTGATCACTGTTCTAGAACAGATTCCTGCAAGTGGCATATGAACACTCAAAATAATAAACATTTAATAAATGCTTTATCCAACTATGTGCCAGGCATTCAAGAAAGGGAAGAAATGATTGCTATGAACCAGCATAGATACACAAAGCAAAAGCATTCCAAATTAACTTTATTTTTTCTCTTCTCTTCTAGCCCTCTCTGCACACCATCTTTATTTTGGCCATGATTGCTATGCCAAGCACTCAGATGAGGACACTCCAGACCTTGAGAATCTAAAGTCCCTAACATATACATATACATACATACATACATATATATGTATATATATACACCTACATACATACATATATATGTGTATATATACATATACATATATGTGTGTGTGTATATATACACATTTACATATACACATATATATATACACACACATACAGGTATATATGTGTGAGTACTGACATATGTATGCATAGGTATAACCGGTGTGCATAAGCAGGTATATACACACATGACTGTATACACACATGAAGACCCAGAGAGTTAAAGTGTCTTGAGGCAGTGGTTATTAACTTGGGGTCCTCAGACTATCCCCCCAGGACTCCATGGATAGATTTCAGAGGGAGGTCGGGGGGCTGTGAACTTGGATGGAAAAAAAAGATTACATCTTTATTTTAATAAAATCGGTCTCCTTTGCAATTCTATATATTTTGTTTTAGACATTTAAAAACATTATTCTGAAAGGGGTCCATAGACTTTCCCAGAGTGCCAAAGGGGTTCATGCACAATAAAGGTTAGCAACCCCTGATCTAGAAATGTTATTTCTTACCCAGATGTGCCGGTTCACAGTATAGTTTGCCAGACAATAAGCAGCTGCAGCAATAAGTGAAGGAACATATTTCAAGAATGGGTCAGCTTCAAGGAGGCTTAGTTCTGCAACATACTAAACACAAATTCCCACCAAAACTGTTAAATGTCATTTAAATGAACAAATATGAGATTGGTTTCTCATTGTGACATTCACATTGTTGGCACGAAGGTTTTAGTGTCACCCTTCAGTGCTCCATGACTTTAACCTAGGTTGACCCAAGATGTACTGTCTCATTATGGGGATTCTCAGCTCTGGGTCCATCCACCTGAGAATCCCTTATGGCCCCCACCAACCGAACAACAATTAAACTGATGTCCAGATGAGAGGCTATGTGGGTCGGTATGAAGTCAACATAGGTTACCACACTGATATGGAAAACAGCTTTGACAAAAGCAAGCTATCATGGGCTACTTCAATCTAATAGCAGTAGCTCTGGGGGAGGAGTGGGGAATACCAGTCAGGCTATAAATACATAGATAGTAAGTACTAAAACTCCCTAAACCACAATAAGAAAACAAACTTAATTGTAATATAGCTATTGCTCACCTATATAAAACATATTACCTCATTTAAGATGTTGGGGCAATGTTATAAACAATAAATAACTTGTAAGCTTTAGGTCTTTGCCATCTAAATCCTACATAGTGTATATAAGTAGATACACTTTCCTTAGTTCCCCTAGGAGAACGTAAGTTCCTTGAGGCCTCAGACTCACCTTTTTTCTTTGTTATCACAAATACTTTGTAGAGACCCTGACATGTAGCAAAAGCTTAATAATAAATGCTCATCATTATGATTCCACCACTAGAGTCAGAAATATAGATACTCTTATTCTGTTGACCGATTCTAAGTTGCAAAGCAGGGGAAAAGGGAGGAGGGAAGGAAATACGCATTTATATAGTGCCTACTATGTGCCAGGCACTGTGCTAAGTTTGTAAGGATTATTGTCTCATTTGATCTTCGTAACAGCCCTGCAAGGTAGGTGCGATTATTAGTCTCATTTTAAAGATGAGGAAACTGAGGCAGACAGGTTACATGATTTGGCCAGGGTCACACTTGTAGCAAATGTTCAAGATTTGAACTCTGCTTCCCAACTCCAGGTCCAGTGCTCTACTCGCTCACCCTTCAGCAATGGTTCATTCGTGGAAATAGACTATAACAAGAGGAGCGATATTAGTCAAATGAAACTGAACTACACACAGCTACTTTCTCTTGTCTAATAGCAAGCCTACTTGATATTTCAGTATGAAGATCATTTGTACCCAGTAAGTGAAGTTCCTCCAAGTACAAAGTGTCCCAAATACAAGACTTTGGGGAAGGCTTGTATATTACTTGTTTCAAGTTTTACTAGTTTATAACAACACAGAAGAAAGAACCTCCATCTTCCCAGAAAAAAAAAAACTTTTTTTAAAAAGTTAACCACGATGATGCTGTTCAGTTGTTTCAGTCACGTCCAACTCTTCATGACCCCATTTGGCAAAGGTTTTCTTGGCAAAGATACTAGAGTAGTTTGCCATTTCCTTCTCCAGTTCATTTTACAATTGAGGAACTGAGGCAAACAGGGTTAAGTGACTTGCCCAGGATCACATAGCTAGTGTCTGAAGTCAGATTTTAATTCAGGTCTTCTTGATCCTAGGCCTGGCACTCTATCTACTATACCACCTTGCTTCCCATTTAACCATGCTAGACAAGCCATTTTGAAAGTAAATCCAAACCTATTGTTAAGCCCATGAAAAGGATATGAGAAATTCTGAGCAAAAACTTAGAGATACCTGAAAAAAAAAACCTGCCTCTGACTTCCTTGATTTTCAGGAGTTGCTTAGCATACCTTGGCCAAGTTCTCAGTTCTTAGACAGACTCTTTGCTTCCATAAGTACTGAAGAAGGAACTGGTTGGTAGTGGGCACCGTCAGGTCAAAGGCCAGCACTTTCAGGAGCAGGTGCTCCATTCTTAAGAGCTGCCGTTTTGTGTAAGTGTCATCGGTTATGTAGACAAATTCATCAACCTCTGGTGGATAAATCTCCTCATATTTCCTATGAAGAGTAAAGAGTTTCACAAAGATAACAAATATTTTAGAAATAAAATACTCCTCTGCTCTACCCTTTCTATTCTCTACAAATCCCCACCATTTAGCAAGAGACCTTACCAATCAATCTCTAAGGGTCTATAAGCTCTTTCAGGTGGGAGCCTTATCATCTCGTTCATAGCAGGCCCTTCAGCGTTTGAGTTTCTTTACATTCTATCTTCTTACCCACTTGAATGGTACAGGATAGAGGTGAGGAAATTTTCATACTAAAAAGTTTGACATTGTGGAGATATGCTTAGGTAGACCAAGTAGCCCCTTTTCCAACTTTTGGGGTTTAGTTCTCAACCCTTGGACAAAATTTCTGGCTGACAACAGATAAAATCCCATTATGATTAATTCCCTGAAATTCTCCAAAAAAAAAAAAGCTTTGTTGTTGTTGTAGAATAACTATGATTAAGTTAATTTAACCTCAATTCAACTTGACACGTGTCCAATATGTATAGGTATTGTCCCAAGTGCTGAGACTACAAAAACAAAAGTGAAACAATCCTTGCTCTCAAGGAGCTTACATTCCCAAGGACCAGAGAGGTAGATGATTTGATGACCAGATTTTTTGTGGTTAAAAAGTAAAAGTGATTTGGACACAGCAGGAGAAAGACTATATATGCATTGCTATGCCTAAATCCTTCATTCCATCTGACATAGATCTTTGTGATGTTGCTTTGGGGTATTTATTTTTTTTTCCAGACTTAGAATAAAAATGAAGCATATTCTGTAGTATTTTACAGTTTACAAAGCACTTTCTTCATGAAAATCCTAGAAGATAGGTAGTACAAACATATTCCCATTTTATAGATGAATAATGAAGAGCTCATGGCTATGTATAGGTCAAATTAAGGGCCAAACTGGAATTCTACTTCAGGCCATATTACAAATTCTATGCTTTTTATAAAATGCCATGCTACTTCTCAAATATACTTGCCTGAATATTTTTAAAAATGTAAATAGAAGTCTAAAGATAAGATAACAACCCTGCAAGAATCCTGCAAAATCTTGCTATACTATTATAGTGTTTATTAGAAACAAGTAATTTTGTATTGACTTTTAAGGGCCCAGGAAAAGCATTTGTTGAAAGTATTACCCATTATAATCAAATCATCAAGCTGTTGTTGCTATGAACCATTCACTTGGATATCATAAAACTAAATTCAACAGTAGCAAAATTATATGTGCATTTTTTTATTGTAGGCCAACAGCTACCTTGTTTAGGTAAGAAGCATATTAAATTGGTGTGCTATTAAAAAAAAAGAAAGAAAGAAAAACTCTAAACCTAATTCCACAAAAGAGGATCTTTTCCTGAAGAAGTAAGAACATATCTTAATGACCAACTTCACTTAATGACATCTCTTCAACAAAAGAAGATAAGGATTTTGACACTTTAGGAGTGTCACTATCACTTCAGATAGAGAGAATACTTACGAAGCCAACAGAATGGCTGCTGTTCCTACAAGCTGCAATTTCCCTCTGAGAACAGACATGCACGAAAGAAACCTGTCCAAGAAATTGACAGCCAGGTACAGAGTTTCAGCTCGAAGTTTGTATTCTTCCCCAACCTCTACCAGCCAATCCACTAAAATGGTACGCATTCCTTCTGTGATATCAGGCTGCTTCCGCATGTAGTGGGCCTTTGGTCTGTATTTCATCTGTTTTTTGATAGAGTTTTGATATTAATTCAGCATTAATTCAGGCATAACACCACAACGAAGGAGCTGTGGGTTGTTTAATTTAGAACAAAAACAAAGAACCTGAAATGGGTTAAGAAGGCAAAAGATTAAGAATCAGGCTTGTTCTGTCACTATTACATCCAAAAAAAAATCCTTACTGTTTTGAGTTGGAGTGTGAGAGAGGAGGTGCACATGGAATGGAGTTATCTGGACCATTCCTACTCCATGATGTAATAGAATTTAAAAGGAAGTAGGAAAGAAACTGATCACATGGCTGTTTCCTACAGTATGTGTCAAGGCCTCTGATTTCATTGATGTGGGAATTCCCTCCACCAGCACAGAGTATATAATCTATAATTTAGGAGTTAAGTCTCAAGTGTTGACTATGCTCCAAATTATTAAGTACTTGTCAATGGTCACACAGCTAGTAACTATCATGAGATTCAAACCCGCGTCTTCCTGCCACCACGCCCAGACATTGCACTGTGTATGAAATGCTTTAGCGAAGTTTCAGACTTCAAGTTATATAGCTCCAGGTCCAAGGGAAGAACCCCTCCTCGTCCCATCCACCATTTTCATAGATGCCATCATTCTGTAACTACTAACACAACCAATGACTGGTGCTAGGACACTACTGGTGGCCATAATCAACTACTGACAGTTATTTCAACATCAAGGATCTGGGGTTGCTGAGAAAAAGAAAAGAAGTGCAACTCACTTCAGCTTCTCTAAGGTATTGATGAATTTCTTCAGCATATTCAGTCACATTTATTACATCTGTACCAATATCTAAATGATCCTCAAACTGTGATTGCAGAGATGTATCCACCAACATAGGAGAAACTGCACGGGTTCAAAATTCAGTCAGATAAGTCATTGACACAATGGTAGCCTCTACCAATCCTCCCCAGCTAGAAGTCACAAGACAGCCACTTCTTCTTCATACTTGACGTAACTAGATTGAGAACTTAAAATGTCAAAAACATCATTAAAACAGGGTACCATGAACGGGAGGTAAAGCAAATTACCTGTGCTAAAATCCAGCAGGAAGTGGAGGTCTGATTTCAGGGTGCTGGTGTCCACATCATACACATCTTCATACTCGATCTCTTCTCTAACAGTGCAGCTACAGCTACATGTCTCTCCATGCTCTGGTTCATCTACATAGATATCAAAGCCTTGTTTGGCTGGCACATGGACCATACAGTTAGATATCAGTTTCTTTCCAGCTGGAGGGAACACATTTTCTGATCCAGAGAAGCACCTGATGGTTGCGATTCCCTAAGATAAAACAAAAGAGTTACCTTCTTTTAAGGTAAGAAATAAACAAATGCAAGCCACCTTGGTAGGGACATCATAAAGATGGCACTTTTGAGTTTTGTCTTGTAAATTAAATGAGAGGAGGCAATGGTTGTTGCAGCAAGACTGCCTCAAAAACTAGATAAAGTGAATAAAGGACAGCATGAGTGACAACTATTTCCGGAAAGCTTCATTCAGAGAATGAAGCCTTCTGTACTTGCTTCTTACACAGTACAAAAGCAAAGTGATGCCTAGGGATCTGGGTGTACAAAAGTTCACATTGTGTTCTCTGCTCCTAAAACCAGGGAAATTGAGACTTAAAGGTAATAAAAGAAAAGGAGAAAAAAAACCCACTAGGTCTCTTCCCTACCTTGTTCTACAACCTTCTCTAAGTTACTCAGCAGTAAAGTACTTCATAGGGTCAAACAAACCCTTTTCTTTCATTGGAGGGGGGAAGACAACACAGGATAAATTTCCAGGAGACTCTGCAAATTAATAGATAACAAACAGCTTTCCTCAAGGATGACTGAAACAATTCCATGCATCATTTTCCTCGTGAACACCATCCTGACTGTGTTGCTCTCAAACCTTAAGTGAGTTATCAAAAAATAATCTAAACAGAAATCCAATGAAGAAGGTAAAACAGTTTCTTTTACCTGTCAGAATAATCCCTCCAGGCATACTAGTCTAAGCTTTTCCTCAGGGATGGGAAAATACAGATATGAACACTAAACAGTCACCATCAAGGGCCAAAACTTAAGTACATTCTGACCAATTCCATCATTACCACAGCTTATCAGTCAGCATATCAATATTTTGTTTCACTGCATTGCTAGAAATCAGTTAGCAGAAGAACTTTTCAAATTTAAGCTAAAATTGACATTTTGCTACATAACAACCAGTCATATGAGTGGAATTACTGAATACTTAAGTCTCAGCAAACATGGGCTTTGGCCAATTTTTATCTAAGCATCATTGACTAAATCATATCAAGGATAATGAAAATTCTATCAACAACGCATTGTAGTAAAAAAGAACACTGATTTTGAACTCAAAATGCCCCAGTTTGTACCTGGGCTCTAACATTAGCTCTATAGCATGAGGCATGTCAGTAGTCCCAATAGAGTAACTTCTTGATTCAGTCTTCTGACTTCGGACTTCTTGAGTAAGCTTCTTGACAGCAAGATCTGATTCATTTTTGGCTTTGTACTCCTAGTACCTTGCACAATGCCTTGAACATAATAGTATGTGCTTTAAAAACACTGAACTATAAATATTTTAGTGCGCAGAGTTTAGGCAGCCAGTCTCACTCTTCCTTTATCCAAAGGGGTGTAAAGCTACAAGCAAAAATTACTGGGCGAATTACTAGATACCTCTACTGTAGTCTGATCAGAACACTAATGGAGAATGCAAAATAAATACCACAAAAAAATAAAGTATAAAGGAATGTGTGCCACCATACATAGAACAATTGCTCTATACTGACCCCAAGGAGTAATGAAGCTATAATCCTTAAGCTACAACCAGTTACATTAATTAATAGTGTTTATCAAGCAGGCAAGTGTGGTTTAAATTGGGGGGAAAAAAGGTATGGAAAGGGGAAAAAACTACCCATATTTATCTCCAAAAACCAGATACAATGAAGAGTAGCAGCTACAACATGGGAAAAATAGCAAAGAGAGGAAATTTAAATTTAAATCATTCACAGTAAACAATATCTAAGAAGAGAACTAACAACAAAATTTCAGATGTCCATACACAAATTCATAAAGCATGAATAATAAGCTAGGAAGACCAGAAATGCTAACAGAAAAAGAAGGTAAATTCTACCTCACAGGCTTCTCTGAGACTTGGTAGAATTGGATTCATGGCTGGAATGAGTATGAAAGGGTATAATTTATTCAGAAGACACATGCTAGATTAAAGGGGTAGTGTATTAAGACAATAACTCATTTCAGGAATTCCAAAAACTAAGGAAAGGAAGGCACAGTGAAGAAATTTTGAGTGAGGATGAATGGGGCAGAAACAGAATTCTAAGATAAGAGGTATGGTTATACAATAGTTCCTATAAAAATGATCCAGAAGGTTTAGTGCACTGTAACCTCAATAAGTCAACAGTGTGATATGGCAACCAAGAAAATAAAACAACCTTAAACAGAGAGATAATATCCAGGATGAAGGAGGAAATATCCTTGGTATACTCTGCTCTCAGACCACATCTAAAGTACTGGGCCCAGCTATGGGCATCACTTTTTAGAAGGACATTAATAAACTAGAGAGCATTGAAGAGGGCAATTTGAACTAAAAAAAAGCCCAGTATTCATGCTATATGAGGTTTAGTCAAAGGGACATGATATTGAATCAACAGGCGTTTATTAAGTGCCTACTACACATCAGGCACCACGCTGGGCACTGAGGAAGCAAAGACAAAAGCATAACAGCCCCTGACCTCAGGAAGCCTGCCTTCTAACAGGAGAAGACAATGTGCACATTTATAGGAAATCTGCAAAACAAATACAAGGTAACATGGGTCGGGGTGAGGAGACAGGAAAGCTTGCATGTAGAAGACAGCACCTGAGCTGAATCTTGGTGGGGGTGGGGGCGGGGGGGGGGGGGAACTACAACAGGAAGAGGAATTCCAAGAGGTACATGTGAGGAGGGAGAGCATTCCAGGCATGGGGACCAGGCAAATACAAAAGCACAAAGATGAACTACTGAATGTCTTCTATGCCAGTCAGAAAGGAAGAGCACTAAGACTGGTTTGGCTGAGTGGAGAAGAGTAATATGTAATGACTAGAAAGGTAGGATGAGGCTAGCTTGTACAGAGCTTTAAATGCCAAAGAAAAGTTTCTATTTGATTCTAGAGGTAACTGGGAACCTCTGGAGTTTACTGAATACAAGGGTTAGCCCTTTAGGAAAATAACTGGAGAAGACGCAGAGGGACAAGATACCTACCCTCAAGATTCTGAAGGGCCAGCATGCAAAGGAATTAGCTTTTTTTCCATTTGTTTAAACTTTCAAGGAGCAAATGGATGAAAACTTGAATGGAGGGGTGGAGAGAAGAAGCATCATTAATTAGCATTTAGTAATGCTGTAAGGTTTGCAAGATATTAGAGCACCCACTCTAATAAACTGGACCTAATGGACCTGGAGTCAGGAGGACCCAAGTTCAAATCCAGCCTCAGATACTTGACACTTACTAGCTGTGTGACCCTGGGCAAGTCATTTAACCTTATTGCCTAGCCCCCGAAAAAAAAAAGATATTTTATGAATATCTCATTTGAGCCTCACAATAACCCTAAGATATAGGTGTTATTATACAATTTTACATATAGAAAAACTGAGGCAGACCATGGTTAAGTGACTTGACTAGCATCACACAGCTACTAAGTGTCTCAGGCCACATTTTTAACTCAGGTCTTCCTGACTCCAGGTCCAGTTCTCTATCTACTTGCATTATCTAGCTGCTTTAGGCTTGATGTAAATAAAATATAACCTCGTCAAGACTGTCTACTTTCCAAAGACAAGCCTAGCAAAGGACAAAGAAATTCATGATTAAGAGGCTGGACACATGACATAAAGAAAAGCACAAAAAGTCTCATGAAGCCCCTTTCCATTTATGCAGCAAAGGGAAATGCAATGGCAGAAAAGGGGACAGAGTACTAAGCATCACAACTTTTAGACTAACCATAAACATTAACTTAGCTGTTAATGGATTCAATGTGAGATTATGCAGGAGCAGAACTATATGTCTCTATAAACAAACCCTGAAGGCACAAAGGAATGATACAGCTAAATGGAAAGATAGTTCAAAGGTTCTTCTCACAAAGAGAAATAAAAGTATTGACAGAAGTGGATTTATGGGCACCTAAAGGCTAGAAACATCACTTCATGAGACATTTGGTCATATCTTATTGAAGTGCTTGTGATAATCATTTGCAAAAAGATTACTCTGAAAAAATTGCAACATCTATAGTACTGAATAAAGTGGAGCACTAGAAAAACTCTACAAAGAACTCCAAATCAAATCAATATATACTTTGATGCTCAGTGTCTTCAATGCAAAAGGAGGCAAAGGTAAGAACAAAAAAAAATCTGTTGGAAAAAAAGAGTATGGGATGAAAGAGGCCAAAGAATTATTAAATTACATAGAAGCTTTACATCTCTGCATAAATATATTTTCCAAAAAAAAGATGAAGATAGAAGATGATAGATGAGGGAATTATCACATAAAAAATGAAATTGAATTTTAAACAGGAAGAAACATTAATTACATGGTTAAAAGCTAGAAGAATAAAAATGAGGAAAAGATATAGTACACAATTAAAACCTTACCTATTTAAATTATAGAAGTGAAAAAATGAAAATGAGTAAAGAAAAAGACATTGATGTCAATTTTCCATTTCATATATGTTTAATTGATATGAACTGACTGTCATAATAAATAGTCAAAAGTTCATCTTATTCAACAAACACTTGATCCAAGAAGAAAGATGCTACAGCTAACGGCAAACTAGTTTAGAACATAACCTTGTTTATAAAATCTTATAGAAAATGTGCGATATTGCCTCACAGCAAAAGACAGTAGAGGGAGAAAAATTTAAATAAAGTTTTATGAGAAACTCAATTAAAAGCAGTGGCATGCTATCCCCCTAAAACCTAAGGATGAAACCAGAAGGGAGATAGACAAAAGGTGGAAAAGATCTGAGGTGTTTTTTTTTTTAATAATTCCACCACCAATGACAGTAAAGCCCCTACATTTAGATTCTAGCATCACAATCCTGGATGCACTTTGAGGAAGTGGAAAATGCACTGAAAAAAAAAAAAGATGAGAAAAGGAAATGGATTACATGAACTAGATTAGACAGTAGAGGTCAATGTTAGAGATGATACTATTTTGAGGCAGTTGAGGAATCAATTCAAGGTATCTCAAGAAGATTCCAGAAGCATGAGGGGAAAAAAACCTCATTACCAACCCCACC